ACTAGCACCCTGCCACAACAAAAGGCTGCCATCAACTTTATAATGTGTGAAATAATCATCAGTTATAAATTAGTTGACTCATACCAAATCATTAACACTCAAATATTGCATAGTAAAATATGTAATATGAAATTTTATTAAAAGATATTTTTATTTACCCAATCCTATAATTGGGTAGTCCTATAATCCTTCCATTTATAATCCTATAAATGGAAGTCCATTCTAAAACAGAATGGACTTCCACTCCCTGGCATGGACTTCAGACAAGGTTCAATTTCTTCCTAATGTAAACTCTATCCAACAGGCTCTCCCTGGCTTTCACGACACAAAATATATTTATTAGCATCATATATATTTATACATGCATTATATAGAACGATGTACGTATATATACAGCCATCACCATATATATATTGTATATATACTGAATATATATATAATATATATTATATATATATGTTAAGCCTCAGTTTAGCATAACTTAATCGTAGATTTACTTTGCTAATTTGAAGCAATATTCAACCTATGCAGCATGAAGGTATCCCCTCTCTCTCTGCTATAAATGCTGTTTCTCTCCTTCAATCCCAGACAGGTTGCATCTTTTCACCACCACTGTTCTTTGCCCATGACCTCTCGGATTGGCAACCATTACATTTCTTAATAAAGAGCAACATTACATTTGTACCACACTCTACAAGCATATTAGCCGTAACTCAATCTTTCATTTCAGCTAAACATCACTGAACAGCCTCCCTAAGCCCATGTAAGGCTGTTGTAGGTGCCATCCCTAGGTGTGTCATCTACATAAGCTTCTGTTTTCTGTCTCAACAGTACACATGCGGCCGGGCACGGTGGCTCACGCCTGTAATCCTAGCACTCTGGGAGGCTGAGGCCAAGGCAGGAGGATGGCTCAACGTCAGGAGTTCAAAACCATCCTGAGCAAGAACAAGACCCCCGTCTCTACTAAAAGTAGAAAGAAATTAATTGGCCAACTAAAAATATATAGAAAAAATTAGCCGAGCTTGGTGGCACATGCCTGTAGTCCCAGCTACTCGGGAGGCTGAGGCAATAGGATTACTTGAGCCCAGGAGTTTGAGGTTGCTGTGAGCTAGGCTGATGCCACGGCATTCTAACCTGGGCAACAGAGTGAGACTCTGTCTCAAAAAAAAGAAAAACAGTACATATGCTTAGAAGACTCAGCTTGGTCACTGACTCAAATAGTGACTTAGGGACACACAGGAAATGGGAGCATTGTGGCATCATTAGCTGCTTCATGGACCACTAAAATTCTACACAATTAGTGTTATACCTTGGGGTCAGCACATGTGACATGTGAAAAGGTGCTCTGTCCCCAGGGAAGCACAGCACCCAGCAGGCAAAGATGCTGCCACGGTTTTGGTGCCACCCTCTATGGGGCCACGTCCACAGCCAAAGATCCCTGTGTTTATTTGCCAAGGCGCTGCATTAAAAAAAAAAAAAAAAAAAAAGCTAACAGAGAAACAAACAGAGACCAAGAAGAGCTCCCTCTGGCAGAAAATGCTACCAGTCCACTAGTAAAACATCCTACTAGCCACAGGTGAGATGTGACTTACGGAGGGAAGTGGATAATTTTTGCTTGATGGTGAATCGTTAAAAGTGAACCAGATGATTAAACTTAATGGAACAGCCACATTAAACTGAAATTAGTAAAAACATGCCTCAGGCAGCCTACAACCTTTTATTTGTTGTTGTTTAACTTCTGTCGTTTACAGTGGCCATGATGGATGACATCACAAAAGAAAAAATCCAATTAAAATCTAAGTGCTCAATAAACCCCTAATGTCTGGTTGTCACCACCACTTTCACAGGCAGGGCACCAATGTCTTATGTTTCCTCTTTTCCTGAAGAATAGAGAAAATAACTGGCCCCAGGGGAGCTCAACGGAAGGGGAGGAGTGTGGGGAGGGAAAAAAAACCAGAGGCTTCTGGAGGTTTCTGCTATATGTACTCTGCCAGACTCAGATAATGCACTTGGGGAGGAGAGAGGGGAGGAGGTTGAATTGTTTTATTATCAGACAATGCCTGAGTGAAGAGATGCATTTTCCCACTAGTTTTCAGATATTGATAAATCAGAATTGTGATCTGCAAAGCAATCCCTGTTCACACTCTTATTTGGCGTCTCCTCTGCCCTTTACATCGTCTTGGGTGTTTGTTCCATAAGTCATCGAAATGGTCTCTCTTGACAGCTAAAAATAAGTTTCTGATTACTTTTACCTGGATAAATCATGTGGCTAGATGCAGTATTCACCTACTAAGTGTGCAACAATTACATATTGGAAGTGGTGAAAGAACTGGCCGAGGAGAGTGTATAATCTAGTGGAATGCAGAATGTGATAGAATAAATCACGTGTAAAGACAACAACTGCCCCCGGTAGAAAAATACTGGCTTTTGATAATAGATTTTACCTTAGAGATACCACGTGTTTATAAAATTGGGTTTTCAAAAAGTCCTCAAAATAAAGTTCTCAAAGTCAAAACAAGAGCAAAAATATGCTGATTATGAACTAAAGGCCAATAATAGTAGCAGTATCAAATTTAGAAAGTGCTTTATAACTTATAAAACACATATCGTACTTTTATTGCATGCTTTCGTGGAGATTAATGTGCTATTTTTAGAGAGTCCCTAATTAGGGACTTCACAACATCCTGGGCATGTAGCTCTTACTATCCTCATTTTATGGGTAGAGATTCTGGCTCAGAGTGGTTGATTGACTCTGCCATGGTCTTACACGTGGTGAGTGAAAGAGAATGAAAGTGGCCCCTACTCAGGTGTGAGGTAAAGTGACACCCCCCTTTCCCACCCCCACCCCCAACCCCCCACCACCCCACCCCCGTGTCAGGCCGCTGACCACAGCGGCTCTGGAGCAAGGATCTGCCAGGCAATGACATTGGTCTCCTTTCTCATGGGTTAATGAAATAGCTTTTTAAGAGGCTTCTTCACTCATTAGAATTTCACAATGGAGAGTTAAATTTTCCCCAGTGGCTCTTTCTGTGTCGTCATGGTTTCAGTGTTTTCTTAGCATATCATATTACACAAATCACAGAATGCTCTTGTTTTACATTTCTTATTGCATACATCTCACTTCTAAGCAATTTCCTCTCCGTTCCCATTTATCTTCCATTATTTCTGTCAAATTGCTTTCAAGGCTGCTAATTGTATGAATAATATTCTCTTCCCCAAACACTGAGCCATTAACCAGCTTTAGCTGTGTGCCATTGGACACACTTTAAAAATGAGGAAGCCGTAGAAAATAATCTATAAAGCCTCTTCTTGTGCTCAAGTTCTAATCTTCTGACTCCTTTCACACGAGCTGTGTGATTTTGGAAATACATAAACTGGAGCCTCGGTTTTCTTGACGCTACAATGATGGATTAAATTAGTTCATGTTTCCCAAAGTATCTTTCTTAGAAAATTGATTATGGAAGAAATCTAAATGGTCACACCCAAAAAGGATTCTTTAAACAAGAAAGTTAGGGAAAGTTAGATTTTTAAAAAGTCAATAGTTTCAAACTGTAGACACAGCTTTGATATGTTCATAGATGACTCCAAGAAAGAGGCAAAATATGAAGTATTGCTTAACCTCAACACTTTGTAAATGATATTCCGTGGGATACAATTTTAGAAAGACTAGGCTAGATTATTTCTTAAAGTCCCTTTTGCCCTATGGGTCTGTTTTCAATTGTGTAGACACTACTCTGAGCGTTTCATATTAATCTGGAGAATGCAGAGTTGCTTTACCTTTTTCTGTTGCTGCTTTGTTGTTGTGACACAGCCCTGCTCTGTTTCGACGTGGCTGAAACAAGGCAGAGATTAGCAGCCTTCCCACTAACACTGATTGTCTATATGTCACTTATACTCACTACTCTGGGGCTTATAAATGGTACTCCTCAACAAACAGCACTTTTTAAAAATTTGTAAATAGGGTTAGATTATCTGAAGACCTGTGAGATACCATCAAAATTTTGGCTGGTGGAAAAGGAAACAAAGGGAGCTCAATGCTATGGAAATAATCTTTGGGATAAGAAACATGGACGACTTGTCCAAGTTAGGATCCTAATCTTCTGCTTTCATGGTATCTTAGCATTCATTTAATTCAGTCCTTTTCCCAGGCCCATTTTATTGACAGTTAATCATCAGTTTCTGCTTGATTACCTTCAGGAGCAGGGAACTCACTACCTCATAAGACAGACTATTTCAATTTTAAGCTAGCTTTAATTACTAGAAGGCCCTTTCCTATCTCATACTAAAATCTGAATGTTAAATGTTATTGTTCTAAATGACCTTTTAAGTCATCTAGCCAGGTGGTTTTCAAGACATTATCCATGGCAGCACTTATGATGCTTCTCAAATGTTTCAAGTTGAATATCATAAATAAATAATCACATCTTCCCAGAAAAGTGGTTATAATCTCCATCAGTAAAGACTCAAGGAAATTACCTAGCTTCCCTAAATTCACCAAGATAGTAAGTTTTGTGCAGAAGCAGAATGTACCCAGAGCTCTCTGATTAAAAAAACAACAAAGTCCTTTTCTCAATGTATATTGCTTCTCTAATATGTTTGTTTACATATAAGTTAGGAGGGGAGTGTATTAGTAGAATGTGAAATCTGTAGTGAAAATAAGAAAATAGTGGAAATATTTTCCAGCTAGCCTAATATGTCCTTGGATATCTTGCTACTGCTCAAGCTATTAGTTTTCTCTTCTTCAAAGTAAGAAGGATTACTCAATTTTCCCCCACATTCTGTTCCAGGTCTGGAAGATTCTATGATTATAAGGGAACATGTTCATTAATGAATGGCATTTACTACTGAGAGGTTATGTAAAGAGTAAAAAGGAAAAAAAAAAAGTGTATGCCTTAGAAAGGATTGAGTAAAAGTTAACATAGCATGCACCATAAAGACAAAAATGGTTTAGGATCGCATTCTTGACTTTTACTTTCTTTAATTTTTTTTTTCTACACTAGTTACATTCAGACCAGGATAGAGGAGATGGATCACTTAAATATATCCTTTCAGGAGATGGAGCAGGAGATCTCTTCATTATCAATGAAAACACAGGCGACATACAGGCCACTAAGAGGTTGGACAGGGAAGAAAAGCCTGTTTACATCCTTCGAGCTCAAGCTATAAACAGAAGGACAGGGAGACCCGTGGAGCCCGAGTCTGAATTCATCATCAAAATCCATGACATCAACGACAATGAGCCAATATTCACCAAGGAGGTTTACACAGCCACCGTCCCCGAAATGTCTGACGTCGGTGAGTGAGATGTGATTTCAACCAAAAACGGGTTCTTCTCTAGCGCATGCACCAAGTAAGGAATCCTATGAGCCAAATTTACTGAGTTGAATGAATTTAGATGCTAACTTCTGCAATCCATGTATGTCCTTTTTGTAAGTGCACTGTATTTCCCAATATTATTCTAGTCTCTTTCTGTTATTATTTCTAAGAATACAGCATTTCCTCTAAGGATGAGGGTATGAAAAGTGGCAGGTTGATGGTCGGAGGTAGGAAGAAAGATCATCTCCTTTTCCTCCCACCTTGAACTCCCACTCCATTTCCTGGGCTGAAAGACAGCAGCCTTCACCATTTTTCTTTCAGCCTACTTTGGTGTCAATCTCCAAGTAGGGCTCTCCCCAGTAGAAAATAAAAGCCTGAACTTGCAGTCCAGTCTGAAGAGTAGTGACAGTGGCTATAAGTAACTGAATGTTTGGGGAAAAGACTCAAAGAAAACTTTTTTTAAAATCCAAAAACAATATACAGGTGGTGTCTAGAGGATATATCCTTTATGACTTGGTGGAAATTAAGAGACTTTCATAACGTTAATAGTGTGAATTAATATTTTATTGCACAATTCCACTACCAATTTCAAATTTGATGTGTGTGCATTTAATTTGTTTAAATTGGGAGAAGGTAAACAGGATTTAAATTAAGGGGAAAAAATCATACTGATATCACTCAGCCATGTTAAAATACTTCATGGGAGACAGTGACAAATTTTAGACTATTTATGTAAAAGGTTATTTTTATTTTCCCTCTGTCAAATTCGAAAGGATTGAAATTACACAACTTTATTATGATTCTGTGGGTTGGATACCAGAAATGTAGTTCATAGATCCAAGACATGGAAAATATCCAATCCACCAAAATGACTGTAAAACATCTAAAGTTTTCTCATGAAAAAAATTGTTCATCTCATTATTTAAAACCACTGTTTTCTGACAAAAATCACAAGCCCTCACCAAAGCAAAGAGGGAGTTCGTAATTCTTTAAAGAGGAAAGTTTGTTAGGAGGAAAAAAAATGTTTTTCCTCTGGATGATAAAAGGCAGAATTAATGAAGGACAATCTGGTCACCAGCACCAATCAGGCAACTGAAATCGGCTATGCAGGTCGTGCACTCACAACTTCCAGGGGTGCCATTCACGTTTGAACCCATTATAGAATTAAATATGTTACTGGCAGTAACATGTCTTGAGAAAAGGAAGGCTTTCTTCAATTAGCACACAGGCACTATGTTAATATTCATTGTTATCATAGATGAACGTGTCATTGTTGCGATATATAAAGGCATCTTAAAGAAAGTCCATAAAGCTAGTGGGACAACTACCAGCAGAGGGAGGAGAATAATGCACTTTGATATTAAACAGACTTGAATTTGAAACTATCTCCGCTAAGAACCAGCAGTGTGGCCTTTGGCAAATTATTTGATTTCTCTGGTCCTCCAGTTCTGTATCTAGAAAAAACTAAATAATAAATGTCAACTCCTAAGGGTTATCGTGAGGATTAGATGAAAAAAACAAGCACGGAGCCCCTAGTACTGTATCTGGCAACTAACAGGCCCTTAACGCATCCAGAGAATCACATTCTAAAAGCAGTCAAATTTTGTATTAATGTCAAATAAGAACTTGAGTGTTTGTTGAATCCTGTTAGCTCTCACTCTGAAATCGTAGGGCGTTCTCATTCTCCCCACCTCCCTTGCCAGCTTCAAGGGATGGGCCCTCTGTCTCATGCACCAGCGCTATACATCCCAAGCATCCAGCCCTAACATGGTGCAATCTATTTGTTCAATAAATGAAGTTGGTTGGATAGTACAAAAGCAATGTAGAAATTTTAATATTCCCTAGATGTAACTTCCCTGCCCTTTTCATGGACAGGAGAACTGTAGCAGTATGCTCACTGCGTATCTGATATGAATATCAAAAGTCAACCATAAAATGATCTTAATCAAAGGGTCTTATCATTTTTAAAGTCACAGCCCTTTGAGAATCAGACAAAAATCTATGGGCTTTCTCATCAGTGAAATAGACATGTAAGCACACACATGAAAATTTGCATGGAATGTCAGGGGGTTAGGGATACTTTGAAGGTTATTAGGCAACTGTGGTCCCTAAAATAAGAATGCTGATCTAAAATGTAATAGCCTTTTTTTATATTTAATCATAATCATCTTTTGGAATTACAGCTTCCAGATCTTTATGCTCTGTCTTCCAATTAATTCTTTATTTTAATCTAAAACTACAACATTTAAGGTTCAAATTCTTTCAACATCTTAGAATTATCAGGTAGATTTATCACTTAGGATGCTTTTATTGGCAAGTAACAAGAAACCCAACTCAAACTAGTTTAAACATTAAAAGTATTTCCTGGCTACATTACTTAAATCCAAAAGTAAAGTGGGCTTTGGACATGATTTGTTCTGGGTTCTAGCTGTGTCTCTGTAATTTTCTATTCTATTCCACTTTGTCCTCAGGCTGACATTGCTAAGATCACAAAATAGCTGCTGCAGTGTACATCAGCACATTACAGTCCAGGAGAAAAAGTATCTAGGACAGAATTTCCAGCAAAATCATGAGTGGCGCCCCCAATTGGACAACTCCTAATCTAATTCTTGTGGACAGAGTAATGCAAGATGCTGATTTACTTGGTCCTGGATAACTTAAAAGAATCACCATAACAAGGGTCCAGTCAAATCCCACAATTGGAGATGGGTTAGAATCAATGCCACCTAAAGTCATGATCATCGCCATGCTTCTTTTTAACCTAACCTTTATGATGTTTATAAGCGTTTGTCACATTCCTCTGCAGTGAAGAATCCAGAGGACTCTTTTTAATGGAGCTTTTTAATGGAGCTTCCTACAGAAGTTCTCCACTTCCTCGCCATGACAGTTTTACACAAAATTAAGACTGTGCTTTCCTTTTCTCTGTGTATCAAAGATTGTAATGAAGCCTTGATTTATTTCCAGTTTATGTTTCTGTCATTACAGGTACCTTTGTTGTCCAAGTCACTGCAACTGATGCCGATGATCCAACGTATGGAAACAGTGCTAAAGTTGTCTATAGTATTCTACAGGGACAGCCCTATTTTTCAGTTGAATCAGAAACAGGTTAGAATTCCTTTTTGATCATCTTTTTCTCAGTCTGTAATTTTAATTGGCATGCTCAACTGAACTAGCGTATTTTTTAATAAAAACAATCAGTGTGATTGAATTTTCTTGCATTCATCTACCAAATGCTAATGATACATTTGTAAACATGACATCTGGATCATTTTAATCAAGAAATCTGGCAATGAATCTTTCATCGACTGTATTTTTATAGGGTTGATTCAAAAAAATTATGCATTCCTTTATTTTCCTTCCAGTTTGGGGTGATGCTAAATGATCAACCCTTTCTGATAGCTATTAGGCCTGTTTACATATATTTTGATTCTTCTTTTTCTAATTGCTTAGTAGGAATGCATCTCTCTGTTCTGCTCTGAAGCCAGATGTAGCTATGTGATTTATATGGGCAAACAAAATGTGGCAGTAATGCAAGTCACTTTTAAATAAAACTTTTAGAGCTAGTACACAACCCACCACATTCCCTTCCCCTTGCCAGAGTGATCATAGAAACCAGTGTTCAGATGGAATCTGCAGCCTGGATGTCTGAGTGGTATCATGAGCAGAGATTCCTGCTTGCCTGCTTGGGGCATGAATGAAAAATAAGCTTTATTTGTGCTAAGCCACTGAGATTTTGCATCATTTGCTATCCTATCATTGTCTGGCCCATCCTAACTGATACAGCCCTAATCAAACTGAATTGCCTTGTGGAATCCTCTTTTCAATATTTCATTTTTCTGTATTTTCTCAAGTATCATGCTAGCTTATAATGATTTGTTTTTTAGCAAATACCATTTGTATTGCATAGTAAATCCTACATCAAGCGTTGCTATTATAATGCAGTAATTTGCTTTTACACATTTTTTTAAACATCCACTGTTGTTAGTAGAATCAAAACCTCTCTAGGTTACCCACATCCAGTTGGAAATCGATGTGTTAAGAGGCAGAATGAACTTGGAAAGAATCCCAAGGAGAAAGAAAATGTTGAGTTGAAAAACAATGAGGATGAAAAATTAGAATTATTCAGCTTAAAGGACAAAAGGCTAAGGTGATCTCCTGTATTTAAATAGAGAAGTACTATTATCTGAAGAACAGAAAGCAGCTGCACTTTCACTGAAGCCAGGACTATAAGAATAAAATGGACCTGTTGTCTGGGGTATTCTTGTTAAAAATAAAAAAAGATATTTTCAGCTTCATTAGTTGTTAAGCACTGGAACGTGCTACCAGAGAAGGTTATAAAGCCTTCTCCGGTGATTTTTGAAAGAAAGTTAATTTAAGCATAAACCCTACATAGAAATTAGGTGAACTTTTAGAGGTTTTTTTAACTAATTATTTTATAACTACCTAACAATAGAGATAAATTTAACCTAACTTAAGAATGTTGATTGCTGTTGGGACCAGTTGAACTAAACTTCACATCAGCTTTAGGAAAACTTAAATTCTCTAGGATTATACAAGATGATAATTATGAGAGATGCTGTGTTTTCTTCAGACCATAGTTTTGTGGTTTAGAAAATCCTCAGAACTTTCATTATGGTAGCTATATTTGAGGAATAATTAGCCAATTCAGTAACATGAAACATAAGAGTTAGTTCAAGTATAGAGCTTTCTTAACAATTTTTTCATAATACACCTAAATGTCTTTTATCAAGCAACTACTATAGTATACCTTTATACCACATGTCAACTTTGATTTTACTGTATCATCTTTTAACACTTAATGGCTATAGGTGTGGTGTCTCATGCCTGTAATCCTAGCACTTTGGGAAGCCAAGGTGGGAAGATTGCTTGAGGTCAGGAGTTAGAGACAAGCCTGAGCAAAAGTGAGACCCCATCTCTATAAAAAATATAAAAATTAGTCAGACATGGTGGCGCATACCTGTAGTCCCAGCTACTGAGGAGGCTGAGGCAGGAGGATCACTTGAGCCCAGGAGTTTGAGGTTGCAGTGACTTTGATGATGATGCTAGTACACTCTAGCACAACAGACTGACCAAAACCCTGTCTCAAAAAAAAAAGAAAAAAATCATATATCTATAACATAATTATAATATTAAGTCTTATAACATTTAATAGTCTATAGTATTGTAGGATTCGACTTGTATTTATTTTTATTCTCCTTGTATTACAGGCTTTTTTTTAATATATCCATCTCCCTTACATGGTTGTAAAATCCTTCAGTATAAAGGCTGTATATAATCATGTTTATACACCAGGACATCTGCATAATGTTTTGCATATTGTGGGTGACAGTTTATGGTTGTTTGCATAAATAAGTGATTCCACAAAGTATTCTTAATGCATCCCTTTCCACTCCTAAATTTCATATCCATAGGTATCATCAAAACAGCTTTGCTCAACATGGACCGAGAAAACAGGGAACAGTACCAAGTGGTGATCCAAGCCAAGGACATGGGCGGCCAGATGGGAGGATTATCTGGGACCACCACAGTGAACATCACGCTGACGGATGTCAATGACAATCCTCCTCGATTCCCCCAGAGTAGGAACATTTGATTGAATGAGTTTCTTCCATCCACTTTTGTAAAGCTCCAACTTTAATGATTATTTTCCATTGCTGTCATTATTGTCAAAATTAGTGGACTTAGTAAGAACTGGCACTTTTATTAAAAATGACTTGGCAACACTGCTTACACTCAGGAAATGTGAACATTTATGATTCTCTATTGCTAATTAGCTGAGCGATTTCTGATATGGCTATTGTTGTAAAGGCAACATCATTGTTTCATTTTTCCTTATTAAGAAGACTACCACAAACATAAATCTGCTTATGCAGAACATATGTATACAAGCATGCTGCTATTTGTTAGGAAAAATTTGACTTTATGTTTTGTGAATTTAATCAGGCATGTAATCTCTTTTAAATCCTCACAAAGCTTTGTAAGGGGAGGCTTTATCATTTTACTATTTCTAAAAATACAACTGTGGAAGTAACTATGTACTTAATCCATTTGCAGTCATAAATAGTTTTCTACATTATGGCTAATTGAGATACTGAAAGTCATCTCTAGAATCATTAACTCTTGTGATTAGATAGGAAGGAAGAAAAAGGAAAAACATCTATGAATACCAACTTTGTATCAGCAGTATGCTAACCTCTTTCACATACAGCCACCTAAGAGGGAACTGGTTTTAATGTAATTTTTCTTCTAGGAACAAAATCCCTTTCTGACCGTGATCTCCTAAGAAAGTTATCTCAATCACTAAATAGAAAACACACTCTATCATGGCTCTATCATGGCATTTTTATTATATTTTTAATTTCAGAATATTCTGGGGGTACAAACATTTTGGTTACATATAATACCTTTGCCTCACCCAAGCCAGGGCTATAAGTGTGCCCTTCCCCCATACAGTGTGCTCCACATCCGTTACTTGTGAGCTTACCCACCCCTCCTGCCCCACCTGACTGGCACCCGGTGAATATTATGTGAGCATCTAAGTGTTGATCAGTTAGAACCAATTGGATGTCAAGTACATGTGGTGTTTGTTTTTCCATTCTTGAGATACTTCACTTTGAAAAATGGTCTCAAGCTCCATCCAAGATAATATAAGAGGTGCTATTTCACCATTGTTTTTTGTAGTTGAGTAGTCTTCCATAGTGTGTGTGTGTGTGTGTGTGTGTGTGTATTTATTTATTTATTTTATTAATCCACTCATGCATTGATGGGCATTTGGGTTGTTTCTACATCTTTGCAATTGTGAATTGTGTTGCCATAAACATTCAAGTGCAGATGTCTTTATTACAGAAGGCCTTTTTTTCCTTGGGGTTGATGCCTATTAGTAGGATTGCTGGATCAAATGGTATTTCTATTTTTAGCTCTTTGAGATATCTCCAAATTGCTTTCCACAGAGGTTATACTAATTTGCAATCCCACCAGCAGTATAAGAATGTTCTTATGTCTCCACATCCACAGCAGCATTTGTTGTTTTGGGACTTTTTGATAAAAGCCATTCTCATTGGAGTTAGGTGATACCTCATTGTGGTTTTGACTTGCATTTCCCTAATGATTAGAGATGTTGAGCACTTTTTAATGTTTGCTGGCCATTATTCTGTCTTCTTTGGAAAATTTTCAGTTCATATCCTTTGCCCACTTTTTGATGGGGTTGTTTGGTTTTTGTCTTGTTAATTTTCTTAAGTTCTATATAGACTCTTATTATCAGCCTTTTACCAGATATGTAGCATTCAAATATTTTCTCCCATTCTGTAGGTTGTCTATTCGCTCTAATGATAGTTTCCTTAGCTGTGCAGAAGCTTTTTAATTTGATCAGGTCCCATTTATTTATTTTTGTTGCTGCTGTGATTGTTTTGGGAGTCTTCTTCATAAATTCTTTGCCTAGGCCAATGTCTGTAAGAATTTTTCCAACATTTTCTTCTAGAATTCTTAAAATTTTGCACCTTAAGTTTAAGTCTGTCATCCATCATGAGTTGTTTTTTGTGAGAGGTGAGAGATGGGGATCCAAATTTCAATCTTTTGCATGTGGATATCCAGTTTTCCCAGCACCATTTATTGAATAGAGATTCTTTTCCCCAATGTATATTTTTGTCTGCTTTGTCAAAGATTAGATGATGATATGAAGATGGTTTTATATCTGGGTTCTCACTCCTGTTCCAAATATCTGTATCTCTGTTCTTATGCCAACATTATGCTGTTTTGGTTAGTATAGCCTTGTAGTAAAGCTTAAAGTCTGGTAGACTGATGTATATGGCATTTTTAAAAGATAATCAGCTGATATGGGCTTCCTTTAGAATGGAGATATATATGGGTCAGCAGGAAATAGTTTTATTTTCTTTATTTTTTGAGTATTTAATCAGTTAGCTAAATGCACAAACAGAAAAGCTAATTAATTTCTGATATAATGAGTAAAAGAAAGGTATCATGAGCCCTAAAATTTCCCCAACAGTGGCTTCAGATGAAAATATCAGAATCACCACCACTTTGCCCCAAACCCTCCTTTTCAGTATGGAGATGCCCTGGGGAAGGATAACATAAAGATTTATCAGCACCTTGGTACCACAGGGATTTGTAACTCACTCAACTCCTTTCTTAGATAGCCTGTGAATTATTACTGGGCAATGTGCCAAGGCAAGGGAGAGGAGAATGTAGAAAGGGCAGGAGGCCCTAAAAATGAAAGTTGAATACACTAGAGAGATATTTAACCTGTTTTATCATTTTACCAAGTCTGAGTCCAATACTTAGGGAATTACTATTATAGAATGCCTACATTTTAGTGGTGCCATAGTCTAAGTTTTTTTCTAAAACTATTTGTATGAATGATTGGTAAAATATAATGGCTAAGAGTAGGATAACTTTTGTTTTTACTATTTTATTATATTTTTTTATACTATGCACATGCTGGCCTGGCAGATCTAAACTGAAACTCACATGTAATCTCCTTAAACTAATTTTACAACATAAAGACATAAGAAACATGTCTGTGTACAAAATACAGGTTTTGAATTAGTAATAAAGAAACAAGTATAGGAGAAACTTAAAAATGGAAAAAAAGTACTGTAATAAAATTTAAAAGAAAGAGTTAGACAAAAGAAAAAAATTAAGAGTTTTATCACTCAATGTATTTATCTGTATCCTTAACCATGCAACTGGATCCAGCTCTATGCATGAATGAAAGAATGTCTACTTGGATACAGTCTCCAAATTGCTGTAATTTATTTCCATGTGCAGCTATTATTAGCAATAGCAGAAAGAACTCTTTTAAAGAATACCTAGTAATTGGCTTAAAGTCACAGTTCAGATTAAATTCTTCTCTATTCTTCCAAATAGATTAAGTTAACAGAGGGCTTTGAAGCCTTCTGTGCCTCCTCTAAGAGTTCAGCCATTCTCACAGTCACACCATAAACTTTGAAGCCTGTTTACAGGACAAGAAAAGTGTTCTCCATTTACAAGGAGACAGGTCATGAAATAGAAGAAATATTCTTAACAACCATGAAAGTAAAGACACAAGGAAAACAGGCCACCATTTATTATTTCGAGGAAAGCTCAGATCTGCTCTGTATCCATGGTAATGTCTGAAAGAACTTGTAGAAAATGGGTTTTGTTTTTATGATGATAGAGTGTGCTTAGTCTGGGTTTGACTTCTATCTGTCTGGTGATTAATAGGTACATATCAGTTTAAAACCCCTGAATCTTCTCCACCGGGTACACCGATTGGCAGGATCAAAGCCAGCGATGCTGACGTGGGAGAAAATGCCGAAATTGAGTACAGCATCACAGACGGAGAAGGGCTGGATATGTTTGATGTCATCACTGACCAGGAAACCCAAGAAGGGATTATAACTGTCAAAAAGGTAATGCCGCTTCTTAAATATCATACGAGTGAATGCATTTACTTTTCTCTTGTTCCCAAGTTACTGGGGCACTTATAATTTAGATTCTTATTTAATGATTTTTTTTAAATGCTGATTTTAATTACACTGAGCCTCTTGGGTTGGCTTTTAGGGGTCCAGAGTAATCTTATGCATTTATTAGTTTTATACTTTCAATAAATTTTTATGAAGAACCTCCTAAGTAAATAAACATAAACAAATGATACATAAAGGAAACACCATAATGTATTTACATAAACATGCATAAGGTAAATACCATAAATGAACAATAAACACACAGTGCCGGTCACTGTCCTAGGTGCTAGAGGTGAAATGTCGCATTAAACAGATGATCTCTGCTGTCATCTAGAGCGTCTTTCCAGTCTAGGGGGAGAAGAGATAAGAAAGCAAGGAAATAAACACACAAACGTGTAATTACGAATTGTGATGCAAGCTTTGAAGAAAAAGGGTAATGCAAGCAGTGATCAAGAGGACTTGAATTACGGAGAGAGGATATATAAATACGACAAATTCAAGTTAATTAACATGAGTTTCCTGTGACCCCTTTAGCTACTCTCTGGAACACAATAATAAATCTCTTATGTTTTGCATTCCTATTTTTCCCTAATGTACATTATTTTATCCCCCCAAAATTATCTAGCACTACAGAGCAGTATACAAAAGTGTGGCCAAAATTAAAAACCAATAAATGTTATTATGCTTTAAGACTAAAAATAATGTTAATTTTGATTAATTTTTTATGATTTCACTTGTATTACATTGGTATAATATTTTTCTCTCTTTTGCCACACTACTATGCTATTTTTGCTGGTAAATATAAGCATACATGTATATAAGTAAGAAACTTTCTCCTCTCAAGGTTTGGATTACATGTCTTAATATCTGGAAACACAATAAAACATGTTTAAGTGACACTCAGACCAATGTTTTATACTATAATATAATTAGGAAGCCCATTAGTGTGCATTAACCTTTCTAATTTTCTTGGTGCCTTATCAGATTCAAACTGAAATTTTGCCTAGCCGACTAAATCACATTCACTAACATCTTGATTAATTGTGTTTCTAGTGAGCCTTGTCATATTATCATCTAAAACTAAAAGTCAGCAACAAGCATTTGGGCTCACTGTGCCTCCAAACCAGAGATACTTTTCCCAAAGACCTTTGATGATAATGATCATTACCTTCTTTGGCAAACCATTATCAGAATATCGTTTGGAATATTTTAATCTGTTTTATCTGAATGAGGAAGAGGGAATCACAATGCAAACCTGTGCTTCTCAATTCTGAGAATCCTTAGAATCTCTAGGGAAGGTGTTTCATAGTACAGATTATCATCCCCACTCTAGATATTTTGGACCAGGGAGAGGCTCAGACATCGGCCAGTTTTAAACACTCATCAGGTACAATTAAAGCCAGACATAAGAACATCTGACATAGCATCATCTGCATATTTGCTACCTTGCCCCTGGCAGTGCCCTTGTAGTCAAATATAAAGATTTTTCAGGGGAGAGAGGGTGGGCTGCACTAGACTCCTGCTTCCAGGTTCCCCTCCTGCTTGGTGTGAGGCCTTGCACCTCGGCACCCACTTTTAAGTCAAGGTCAGCCATGGTTTCAGCCCACACTTTCTTCAGGGTTGTTTGGCAACTGAACTCCTTCACAGGCTTTATAATAATTTCCCACCTAATGGTTTAGGTATGGGGAAAAAAAATTATTACACTGTATCTTTCCTGCCTTTGCCCAATATCACACTAATGTGTAGTGATTTCTCTAAGCAATACGTTTACATTCATTTATCAGTGATTTGTCCCCAAAATGCTTCATGTCTTGGCTTTTTATGTCTTGGCTACTTTAAATACGTCCCTCCCTCCCTCCCCTGCTCCCAAGCTCTTGGACTTCGAAAAGAAGAAAGTCTATACCCTCAAAGTAGAAGCCTCCAATCCTCACGTCGAGCCTCGATTTCTCTACCTGGGGCCGTTCAAAGATTCAGCCACGGTCAGAATTGTGGTGGAGGACGTGGATGAGCCTCCTGTCTTCAGCAAACTGGCCTACGTCCTACAGATAAGAGAAGATGCTCAGATAAACACCACAATCGGCTCCGTCACAGCTCAAGATCCAGACGCCTCCAGGAATCCTGTCAAGTAAGCGCACTTCTGCGCCATGCCTCTTTCATTAGCCTCAGTCAGTTTATATGCAAAGACCTGCCTGTCTGTTAGAAAAGATGAATCCCTCTTTTTCCAATTAGACAGTTGTGTTTTCTTGAAAAAAACTACTCTGAACAGCACCTTTAACTCTCATTGCTCACTGCATACATATGATTTTAGCAGCAATACAGTAGTCCCTTAATGTCCTTGAGCAGTTGGTTCCAGGATCACACCCATCCCCATACCAAAAATTCAAGGATGCTGAAGTCCCTTATATAAAATGACACAGTATTTGCATGTAAGCTAAGCACATCCTTCCTTCTACTTTAAGTCATCTCTAGAGTACTTGTAATACCTAACACAATCTAAATACTAAGTAAATAGTTTTATACTGATTTTTTATTTGTATTATTTATTGCTGTATTAGTTTTTTTATTGTTTGCTCTTTTATTTTTTTAATATTTTCAATTGGCGGTTGGTTGAATCTATGGTTGCAGAACTCATGGATATGGAGGGCTGCCTGTGTAAACCTAAAAATCACAAAATTTGAAGAAAAAAATACAAAATGAGCTATAAGGAGTTTACTGCTTATGTAGAAATAGTCTAAGGTGAGGTAGCTGAATGGCCTGGGATTTATTTTAGTGGTGAAGATTCTTTTAAGCTTAAGACTTGTCAAAGAGCATAAAGTATCCTGATTTTTAACAAACCAGGCACTACTGGGCTGGAGAGCCTTTTTTTCAAGTGTGGAAAAACCTATGGTGTAACACTGAGAGGCTCCATTTGTATACATAATACAATAATACAGAATTATCCTCCATTTGTATACATAATTTTTCCTTTTGCAGATATTATATAAACAAGAACTGTTTCATGTTATATGTCTGTGAAATCTTGGGGAAATTAGTAGAGTAGAATCCAAATTTACTCTGTGTCAGCAAGCTCTGTTTTCCTGTACTTTCCTTATTCCTTAGTTGTAAATCATGTTGAAAGAAGGTCTCGTTGCTCTTGGGGACCACCAATGTTTCTGTATTCTAGAATCTTATCAAGAAAATTCGCGAGTCAACCAACCTCCAGGCTTTAGCTAGTAGCTTAGTTGACTAAATAAGAAAAGTGCTAAACCAGAATTTCATTGTATAAATTATTTCCCATAAATAAAGTGAGCAGATTGAAAAACTCTAGAAGTTCTTGCCAGTGAGTACACGAATAGATTCTGATCAGGACACCTGCCAAGTATGCCAGGTACGTTTAGGCCCTAAAGAAGGACCAAAGATTCGCCTAGTCTCGTGTGGCTTACATTCTAATTGGGGCAGACAGAAACAAACAAATGGCAAATATATAAGGTATCAGGTGAAAATAAATTATAAGCAGGAAAATAAAACAGAATAAGGAAATAAAGAGTACCTGGGGTGCTATTTTAGATAACGTGGTCGGGCTTGGCCTTCTTGGTAGGGAACCATTTGAGTGAAGATTTTAATGGAATTAAAAAGCGAACCATGCCGATACCTGGGGAAGACCATTTCAAGAAGAGGAAAAAGCAAGAGCTAGGTCTGATATCCATTGCATAGCATGTGGAAAGAGCAGCAAGGAAGCCTACAACAGCTAGAAGAGATGAGAGAGGGAGGGGAGGTCAGCTACGAGGCCACAAGGAGGTTTGGTAAGGGGTGGCAATGAGCGTGTCCTATAGGGCTTTGAAGTCCATGGTAAAGATTGCATTTTATTCTGAGTGAGATGAGAAGCCCCTGGAAAGTTTACTAGGATCACACTGGCTGCTGCATGAAGAATATTATTGCAGACAAAAGAATCTGAGGCTCTAAGGCAGTCAGTCGCTTTCTCTTTAGCCATTGAGCTCTTTGTTCAAATGAGACCTTATGATAAGTCCCATATCTGGAAGAAAAAAAAAGCCTACCTTATTTTGGTGAAATAATTTTAAATCACTGGGCAAATAAACTCTTGTTTTATCATTCCACTGGAAAATCTATAAGAAACCTTGAATTGGGCTTTAGTCAACCCAGAGTAGCCACATGTGAGCTCCATGGATCAAGTATTTCTCCAATACCTTTAATATTATTAATAAGGAAAATAAATGATGGTTTTCACTTATACAGCACAAATAACATAAGTACTTTCACAACTATTCTCTTACTTGGAGTTTCTTCTAACTGCATAAGAAAAAAAATCTTAGTAACTCAGGGTCAAATTCGATTTGAAAGTATTAATGCTTGAAGTTTACAAATATGAGCGTTGGTTAGTTCTTTGATAGATCAACATGTTTTTAATTGAAAGAGATAATGTCTTCTGGGAATTTAGACTTTGTTTTAATGTCTATATTACTTTTTATACCAAATACCATTTTTACCCACTGCATTATTTTCTGTTTTATGAAAGAAAGTAGTTAGCTTGTCAGACTGGATTTGCTGTCAGCTAATTTTGAAGTTTTTTACTGCCAGCCTTACCTTGGTACATATGGATTTGATACATAGATATAGATTTAAGGCTAGAAATACACATAGATATATTGGTATATAAATTTATATTCCAGTGTCCTTTTATAGGATAAAATTTATTCTTATATTAGAAAACTAAATCCATACATAGTTTTGGATATTTAAGCCATAAATATTGAACAACTAGGTGCTAGACAATGTGTTAGGTGCGAAATTAACACTAGAGAATTTTTCCTGCAAACATTGATTTATCATTATGCAGGCACAGATATTTAATTCTTTAATCATATAAAATAATTTTCTTCCAATAACTTTTATCATGAATTCCATTTGATTTTCATGAAATAATCTTATGTCCCTATAAATATGCATTATGAAAATTTTACACACAAACACACCTCTTTTCCTGACCCACAAATCTTCATGACTTGAAGATACATTAAATACATTAGAAGACAGATTATTTAATCACAGAATACAATGTAGTCCTAGGGGGGAAAATGTTACCTAGCAGACTGATCTACCATAATCATGAAGGGATTGATTACCTTGTTTCTTATCACTAATGATTATAGTTAATGTTACTAGATGGTAGCTATCCTTGATATAAATTGAAATTACTTTGGAAATATAAAAAACAAACTAGTAAGGCTTTGTGTGTGAGCACCTTTTCTAAATAATGTAGGCATGTTAGGTTTTTTATTCATTTTAAATCTCCCAATAAAAGGAAACAAATAGTATACAATTTTTGGTAATTCTTAAATAGTGACTTTCTCTTTAAAAGAGAAAGCTGTCTCCAACTAAAAATTCTCATCTCTTAACCTTTATTTCAAGGCTTTTTGGGAAAATATAATTATTTTTAAAACTTAAAACTATAGCAGGAGGAAAAGAGACAAAAATAACAAAAAAAGATCACTGCTGTATATAATTATAATAGCTTATAAAGGCAAGAAGAGGCACATCTTAAGCTTGACATTTTTCATGAGGAAAAAAATGTTTGTAGATAATTATTAAATTTCTTACAATGTCTATGAATATTGAGATTTCCTTTTTGGTAATTAACTATGTGCTATAAATATTTATCATTCTCAAGTTAAAAATGAAAGTGATCAAGTAAGTTCAATGCGGTTGCCTAAATTCTTAGTAAATGCTAATTCATGACATAAATGGCAAAAACAATAGCTGTTTCATCTGTTTCAACCCTTTTGATAATAAAAACATTACATACATTGAAACTGAAATTCAACCCAATTTGATATATATACCCATTGTGAACGTCGTTAATTCTCTTTAAAGTCAGGCTTAAATGGCCTACAATAAACCTCCAAACTTCATTTATACACTTGCTAGATGACAAAAATTAATTTTATGAAGATAAAGTATTGTTTATTATAATTCACTACTTATATTTTAAACCAAAATAATTTATTGAAGTAGAATCTTGGACATGGTGTACTACTGCAAATTAGTAACAAGGGTTTATTTTTCTTAGAGCATTCATAATACTTTCATATGTGTCTGACTAGTTAGCTCGTTTATTTAGATTGTATTTCTACTGAGCCAATGTTTTTAAACTTTGTATCATGATATAAGTTTTAAAAATCCAGCTGAAGTGGGCAAGATTTTTCCCTAATGGCCTTAACATATCAACTTTCTTCGGAGTTTTCTCTTTAATACCCTACCCCCACTCATAATAAATATGCACACGTACTTTGTCCTCTTAGATAGCTATTCTAAAAACTAGTAATATTAATAAATTTATAAATAAGATAACATTCTCAAAATTTATTAGTCTTCCACCAGGGCAGAAGACTATCCTTCTTTGGTTTCCAAAATGCCACTCTTGGATTTCTTCAAATTTATACAAACTCTCCTTCCCAAATATTTATCAAGTTCCTACTCTGTTTCAGGCACTGTGGGTCGCTGCTCTCCCGTTGGTTCTTTAAGTGGTTCTGTCCTTAGTCCTTTTCTTCCTTCACTGAACGTTCTCTTTCTACACAGATATATTGGAAATCTAGGGTGTCAGTCCAGATCTTTATCCTCAGCTTCAGACTACATGTCTCTTCCTAGACCTTTCTCCGGCATCTCAGCTTCAGCATATCAAATATGGAACATATGATCTTCCCAAGACCCTGTTTTTCACTCCCGTCCTGTTTGTCACTCCTCTTCTATCAGTTTGTGACAGCCCAACTGTCCACCACACTCCTCAGTTCAGTCTGTGGTCTTTGTTAAACATGATTTAGAGTGTGACACTCTCCTGCTTAGAACCCATTGGTAGATTTACCTTGCATTTAGAATAAATCCCAACTCCTTACCATGGTCAGTCTGTCCTGCTGTCTGGATTCTGGCTCTCTCCCCAGTCTCATCTCCTGTCACTCTCTCCTGCCTCACTGACCTTGGCCACACTAGCCATCATTTGCTTCTTCCAACAGAATGATTTTTAAAATAAAATGGATAATAGAAAAATAACCAATACCATACCTATGCGTGCATACACACATACACACACACATTGAAGTTCTGGGGTTCTAAAAATTGAGTGTTAAAAATGTAACAATTCCTACATAAACTTGATCCTACTTACATATGAAGAAAAGAAACTTTAGTGGTGATTCTCAAAATCACGCAACTTCTCTGTCTAGTGAGTTTACTATTGAGACCTCCATTGTAAAGAACTAATTTCTCAGAATATTTTGCCTAATGTTAAGTTGTAGATATTCAAATATACACTACAGGTAGAAAAAATTCATGTCATAGATATTCTGGAATTAGTTTCATGGTGTGAGAAAAGCAAATACAAAGAAAGCCTCTCTAAATTCCTCTCTACATTTTTAGGTATTCTGTCGATCGACACACAGATATGGACAGAATATTCAACATTGATTCTGGAAATGGTTCGATTTTTACATCAAAACTTCTTGACCGTGAAACATTGCTGTGGCACAACATTACAGTGATAGCAACCGAGATCAGTAAGTCCAACCTAATACTAGTGCTTCCCCAGTCCGTGGAGTGAGTATCCCAATCAAGCATGGCGGGGCACAGCGGACACTCATACATATGGAGCCAGGGAAAGAGCCCTGGAATGATTTGCAGTGACGTTTCTTCTAGACATGTGTTGGTTCTTTCACTGAGAGCCAACCATGGAAGTTCTGCAGTTTGGAAACAATAAAATGGGAATGCATCTTTCAAATTAGATTAAATTGGTATTTGCTAGATTTGATTGCAAAAAGCTTATAAATTAGAACATTATGGGAATGGCTGATAAAACGGACTCTCAGACATTTTGTGGGGGGCAGAGGATGAGAAGGGTCAAGTATGTTCTAAAATACAGGCACTGTTTAGAAATCGTAGATATCACTTCTCTAGCTTTCTATAGAATTTCTATTTCAAAATCTTTACAGAATTAAAAGATAGAAATTCTCACTTTTCCTTTGTACACCAAAGGGAGCAATACAACCACCAAGTAATCAATAAAATGTTTAGAATGAATTTTATGGCAGTCCCCATGAAATTTAAGGCAAAAAAAAAAACAGTGCCAAAAGAATGCTTCAAATAAAATGATTATACACAATGAAAGTTAATGTGTATTATAACCACAATATGCAGACTAAAGTACATACAAGGAAAATGATCTTTAAAATAGTATTTTAATGTTTAAAAATAGGCTTCTAAATTATAGCTCATTTTTTAGTTTTTGTTTGTGATTTTAAAAGGTCTAAACCTTTTATTTCAGTTGGTATCTAGTGTGAAATATTCCATATCAAATGGTTTATTACAGTTGTATTTTTTGTCAACATAACTCATGAGATTTGAAGCGGCTACAGGATATTGGATAGAATAATGAATAACTGATATGGGCAAAATGAAGCATTGCTTTTTGATAGTGGTAAGGACACCTCATTAGAAATTTGTTAAGTAGGAATTTGCTCTTCAGAATTTTTGTCAAGATTTACCTTAACATTTACGTTAATTTGCGTTAAGGGACTGATGTGGATACCAATGACAGAGCACCCTTAAAGGTTTAAAATTACAAAATTATATCCCACTGAATAGGACCATTTTTTATAGCATCATGAAATTTTATTTTTTACTGAGTAGTCTTTTTGTATTTTAAGCTTTGTGCCTTAAAAATTCTGTATTTAAGATTTAATGTTTCTATGATATATTTGAAAGTGTTAATGATTAAGACTTTTGAAAAGTTTATATGCAGCTGCTCTAACTTTGGAAGAATAGTGTGAGTAAGATTTTAGATGGAAGGGATCTTAAGGAATCTTACTGCTTAAACTTCTTAACTACCTTTGATGTAACAGAAAGCAAGAGCTTATATAAAGTCAGCTCCTCTCACCCCAGGGCCTCTGCACTTACTGATTCCTCTACCTGAAGAGCAAAAAATATTCACATGGCTTATTCTTTCTCTTCATTCATTTATGTCCCTGGGCAAATGGCGTCTCATTCAAAAGACCACCTCCATCTTTTCTCCATCCCTTTTCCTGTTTAATTTCTCCATAGCATTTGCCATCTGATGAATTAGATATTTACGTGTCTACAGTTCATCTATTGCAATAAAGCTCCAGGAAGCAGGATCTTTGTTATGTTCCATATATGTCCCAGCACCCCAGATAGTGGCCAGCATATATTAAGTATCAGATAATCACTAAATAATCATAAAGTGAATAAACAAAAAGATATATTAATATGAGTGAAGTGAATGAAGAGAGCTGAGGCAAGAGATTCTGACTCCTGATTCTTACACCAAGAATCTGTCTTCCATACCATCAGGAGATGATCATGGAAAGCAACCAAAATATTTTATCTGTCTCAGGTCTTCAAACATTGATTGTGTTCTGTCATTATTCTAGATGAACAGCCTGGGCTTTGGAGTCAGACCCAAGTTGAATCTGCACTCCACTCCTTACTATCTCTGTAAACATGGATAAATTACTTACCTTCTCTATGCCTCAGTTTTCCCATCTTTAAAATGGGACAATAACTGTATCTACTTCAAAAGCCTGTAAGGATTAAATAACATAATATAGCAAAGTGCTTAGCATGATGTCCGGCTCTTGTTCAGCACTCAGAAAACTAAGACCAATAATAGTCCTTTGGTCTCCTGGAGGTTCATTCACTTTCTCCTTTCTTCTTTTTGCCCATGTTTTTCCCATCTACCTGCTTCCTTGGCTTCCTTGAAAATTTACCTCTAAAATGCCCTTCTTTATTTTCTATTACCTTAGGGTTTTTTATGCAGTTGCACTCTATCAACACACGTAGCTTTGTCAGCTAGGTATCTCCAGCAGGCATGTCCAATTTCAGACCTACCCATCTAATTTTCCCTTTTGTGATCACATTGGCACTCAGCACCCTGCAGTACTCACTGCAGCTTTGGGGAATGTCTGCATGAATGAGAGTGGGAGAGTGAGTCAGCATTGCCTACAGGGGATTGTGATCAACATATAAACGCCTATTTCTCTCTTTTTGGTATGTGACAGATAACCCAAAGCAAAGCAGCCGAGTACCTCTATATATTAAAGTTCTAGATGTCAATGACAACGCCCCGGAATTTGCTGAGTTCTATGAAACTTTTGTCTGTGAAAAAGCAAAGGCGGATCAGGTGAGTTTCATAAGAAAGCGCATTCAAATTGAAAGTCAGATTAATTTAGATCGTCTAATCGTTTAGATGATTCGCAGAACTGAGGGCTAGTTGTGAATTGTCTATGAAGTGAATGCTAAGGAAATTAATGCTATAAATAAAAAGCAGGACTGGCATAAGAGAACCAGCAGCTTTTAAGAACTGGAAGTTCATCAAAGACTGACGCTGATTCCAAATTGGTCTTAAGTTTTCATTAAAATAGATTAGTCACAGCTTTATTGGAAAAATCTTTATTGGTGAACAGATTAATTACCATATGTACTCGAAAGTAATAACTAGAACATATTTTACAATTGCCCATAATTCATAGTTTTACTTATTTACATTGCCCATCTGTACAAATAATACTAATTCATGAATGTTTTACTGTTTTACACATTTGTCCCCACCTGAATTAGGTCTTTGCTGCCAGTGATATAAAAATTATGATACAGTTTGTCAAAATAGAAGTACATTATTAAAGTACACGTGCAAGTGGAAAGTTGCAGTTACCGTGTTTTATATACTCATTTACTTTTCAGTTTTTGCAAGTTGACAGCTTATGTATATGCTAAGATTGTATTTCTAAACAGACTGTCCAAAGAGCACTTCCATTTTATTAAGTTGCAATGTTGTCATAGATCATTGTGATCCTCAATTTTTCTCCTTAGGGATATGTGCAATGTTTGAAGACTTTTTTTTTTTTTTTTTTTTTGAGACAGGGCCTCACTCTATTGCCTCGGCTACAGTGCAGTGGTACCATTATAGCTCACTGCAATCTCAAACTCCTGGGCTCAAGCAATCCTCCCTCAGCCTTCTAAGTAGCTGGGACTATAGGCACATTCCACCATGCCTGCCTAATTTTTCTACTTTTTATAGAGATGGGGTCTTACTATATTGCTCAAGCTGGTCTCAAACTCCTGGCCTCAAGTGATCCTTCTGCCTCAGCCTCCCAAAGTGCTAGGATTAAAGGCATAAGCCACCGTGCCCTGCCTCTGGAGACATTTCCGACTGCACAGCTAGGAAGGTGCTACTGGGTATCCAGTGGGCAGAGGCCAGGGTTGCTGCTAAACGGACTGCAATGCACACGGCAGTCCCCTGCAACAAAGAAATATCCCTTGTTCTATGGCTTTCTAATCCATCAGTTCTTTCAACAGAGTGGATTCATTGTAAATTTTTTAAAGGCTATTATCTTTTTAATTAAAATTAAAAATCATTTAGTCAAGTAATTTATTGTAAAACTGTTAAGAAATGATTTTGAGTTATCAAAACTTTATGGCATAATTGTACAGGAGTTTTTTTAAAAAAAATTTTATGGCAGCTCTATGGTTTTTATCTTAGTTGATTCAGACCCTACGTGCGGTTGACAAGGACGACCCTTACAGCGGGCACAAATTCTCCTTCTCGTTGGCCCCCGAAGCAGCCAGTGGCTCAAACTTTACCATTCAAGACAACAAAGGTAAATGAGCTCGAGTTACCTTCTCTTTATCTGAGCCTGTGTCGACCTCTATCTATTCCCATCACAGTGGGTTCAGTACGTGACACAGTACCCACAAACATTCATCTCTCTGCTTTCCGGTTCCAGACAACACAGCGGGAATCTTAACTCGGAAAAATGGCTATAATAGACACGAGATGAGCACCTATCTCCTGCCCGTGGTCATTTCAGACAACGACTACCCAGTTCAAAGCAGCACTGGGACAGTGACTGTCCGGGTCTGTGCATGTGACCACCATGGGAACATGCAGTCCTGCCACGCGGAGGCGCTCATCCACCCCACGGGACTGAGCACAGGGGCTCTGGTTGCCATCCTTCTGTGCATCGTGATCCTACTAGGTAAACTGGTTCTCCCCGCATCCTATCTCCCCATGGTGAGGGGCTCACACTGTTACTGTGACACCCTAGATTTGTCCGCCTCCCCCATTAAGGCATACAGCCTGATCTAGGTGAGTAGAGTTACATGCTGAGAATTTGTGTTGTTCGACTATGACCTCATTTTTGCTTGAAAATGGCTTTGGAGAATGAAAGAATGTGAAACTGGCCCATGTCTTTGCTTGCCCAGGAACCAGTCATTCCACCAAAAGAATCTCTTGTCTATCAGACTGGGAATGAATCTCGGGAGGGGACGAGGGGGGAGTTGAAGGCAATAGAAATATACCCTTTTCGTTTCATTTGTGGTTTACTATTCAACTTGGCAAACATTGTTAAATTTTAAAGAGTGAAAATGTCCAGCACGAAGTAGATGATGAAGACCCTTTCTGCAAAGGTAAAGCTTAAAGATCAGTGGGAAAGTGGAAGGAGGAATGTGATGACTTTTTCTCTCCTCTGGGAAAAATAAAAGATGTGAAATTTTTTAAACCCAGAGAACTTAATCTACCCATTTAAACGACTACCTTCTTAGCATTGCTCTCTGACTACCACATATGTACATAATGTAATATCTGTTATTTCTTAGATTTTTAATAGTAAATAACTTCTGTGATTAAGGAAATAAATCTAGCACTCAAAAGAAATGAATGTACTAAAAGTGAAAATCAATGTCTAACAATGATTCAAATGATGTTTTTACCTTCAACCAACTAATTAAGCCCACAAGTGGAGCTCAAATCACTCAACAGGCTGTGAACTAAGAAATCAAATGTTAGTTACTGCAACCCTTCCAAAAATAAAAGCAAGATTTGTAAACCTTGCATATACAATGAAAAAAGAAAAAAGGTAAGGCATTAGAGTTATTCTGGATTACACCTGGAAAAAAACTTTTTAAAAAAATGAAGACAGAGTGATTTTGAGAAGAGTAAAAGAGAACCTACATTTCTCCAAGAAAAGAATGCCTAGGGATCCCTGCTTGAGAGCTTCCCATTCCAAATCAACTTTGCTAATTATAACAGAAGCCTTAAAATTCAACTACAGAACTGTGATTCTTGTTGTCAACTAAGATTTGGAGAAAGTATTTTAAGATATGAAGATAAATAAAAACTGACAGTGTGCAAAGACAAATCAGTGTTTCTAATGGTGTGAGTCTGTAAAAATTGCTTTGGAAGAGAAGAATATGAATGTTCTTTTTGATCAAAAAGTCACTTTTAGAAGCCCTGGATTGGCTGTAGTCAAGTAGTATTCCATGGACCCTTTTTGTGGTCTATGGAAAGAGAACCAGCTCTCATCTGATAGAGGTGATTCTTCCTGTCCCTCATTGTCTACCCATTTTCTCTTCCCTCTTTTCTTCCTTCTGATCAACTCACTGTGTCTTCCCTTTCATTCCCTTCCCTAATGCATTTCCTGTCTATTTACTATTTTTAATTGGCCTTGGTGCTTCCCACATCTTGTCTAGTCTCTTTGGAATTCTGTACCTAATAAAAAAAGGAGAAAAAAATGGGATTTAACCTTTACTGGGAACATACCGTAGGCTAGATGGTGTGCAAGGTGTTTTACAAAAGTTTTTCTCACTTAATCCTCAGAACCATCTGGTGTATATTTATCTGCATCCGAAATAAGAAACTGAGGCTGCACAGTGTGAAGTCACGTAGCCAAGTCACATGTCCAACACGTGGTAGAACTAAGTTCTAAACCTAGGTCTTCTCACCCAGGCTTGGTGCTTCCCTATTGCACTCCACTTTCTTTGTAAGCTTGTGGGACTCGAGACAATTTCCGGGCTGAAGGAGAGCCAAAACTAAATAAAATGGAGCAATTGAAGAAAGTGGAGGCAACCCTGAGAGTTTGTAAAAGGAAAGTCACATTGATATAGGAGGAAATCTGGAGTCAAGAGAATGGATCATTGGGCATCTGGCATTTACAAAATGATGTTTATTTACAAAAATAAAACATCAATAAAGACAATGAAACAACTACTACATCTCCTTTTTCTATGGTGCTTTAGAATTTGCAAAACTTTCACATTAACTCATTCCTGACAACAATACTGGGCACTGTATTATTGCTTCTGTTTTACCGATAAGAAAATAGTCTTAGAAAGATAACATTATTTAATTTAACCTAGATCTGTTGATCTCCTAGTTTTTGGATGGAATCTGAGTACAAATTTGCCTGATTATCACCCCACACCCCCAAAAGGAATCTTACTTTTGTCCTCTGGCTTCAAAAAGGATAAAGAAAAAGGGAAGCTCAGTTCCTGGTAAGGGCACCTCATCAGTGTCTCACTTTCTTTTGTTTTTTTTGTTTGTTTGTTTTGAGGCAGAGTCTCACTCTGTTGCCCTGGCTAGAGTGCTGTGGCATCAGCCTAGCTCACAGCAACCTCAAACTCCTGGGCTCAAGCAATCCTTCTGCCTCAGCCTCCCGAGTTCTGGGAGGGGGGACTACAGACATGTGCCACCATGCCCATCTAATTTTTTCTACGTAGTTTTTTAGTTGTCCAGCTAATTTCTTTTTATTTTTAGTACAGACAGGGTCTCGCTCTTGCTCAAGCTGGCCTCGAACCCCTGACCTCAAACAATCCTCCAACCTCAGCCTCCCAGAGTGCCAGTGTCTCACTTTTTTAGAATATTTTGCCCCATGTGCTTAGAAATCATGTTTTTAGTTTGTAAGTTAGCTTTGAGAGAGCTTATTCTAGACAGTTATACCCTCAAGAAATTCTGTTCAGATATGCATTGGGTTAATTGGAAAATATATAGGCAGTTTTAGATATAGAAGAATAAGGCCTAAAATAAATGCCTTTACATCTTTAAATGTGTCTTCTCTCTTCTAGGCAGTTGTACTTTCAGATGTATATAGGACTAAAATAAAAGATATAGATAGGTACCCTAAGCCCAGAAGAATTAGGAAGTGATAAGTGCCACCTACCTTGCCTCAAGTGATTGAATGACCTGTGTACATCAAAGCTTAATTCTTTGCGAGACAGCTCTCTTGATTCCTTTCTCTAGATCCCAAGGCCATTTTTACTTACAACCCTCTCTTCTGCAAAGAAAAGAGGGTTGTAAGTAAAACAACCCTATTGTTTACACTGGAAACGAACATGAAGGGTAGATCATGGCATCCCTCTGCCCAAAGCCCTGTGGTTCTCTGCCCCCATCCCAGCCCCCAGAGGAAAGGGGAAAGATCCCAAAGATGCACGCCTTTCCTATCCTCTCCTTTGCGGGCTCCCTCTGGTCAGACCCCCGATCTCCTAGCTGTTCCTCAAACACTCTAGGCATACTCCCACCCCAGGGCCTTTCCTCTAGCTCTTTATTCTTTGCCATATAGCTCCTTGGATAAGTCCTCATGTCTTTGATCAAATGATGCAACATACACAAAACATATATGCTGTGTATTCATATGGGCTCCTCAAACATACACAGAAGCACTCCCCATCCTCCTTGTTCTGCTCTGCTTTTTCTTATGTATACCGCACTTATCACTTTCTAATAATTTCCTTATATATTATACACATTGTTTATTTTCTGTCTCCATCCAACCGCCCCGACCCATCCACCTGCCGAGTGCCTAGAACCCTGCCTGGCACAGCGTAGGCACTACATACATATTTATCAAATGAATGAATGAATGTGACGAACGAGGCATCGGAATACTCTCTGGAAGCAAAAGAGAGTGTGTACAATCATGGAACCACACACTTGAAAATGGCAACATTGCCACTTCCTTTGGAAATAGTCTATATTCCAAACATGCTTCAAAGCATGCCAATTAAGAATATAGGCTTTTTAGTATGACCAACATGGATTTGAATTGCATATACATGTAACATCTCTAAACCTCAATTTCCTATTAGGTAAAATGGGGTTTTAATAATGGTATCCACTTTGCAGGGCTATTATGATAATTAAGTGAGATTCAGTATGTTAAGCATTTAGCACAGTGTTTGGCACATAGAAAGCTCTCAATAGGTAACCCATTATTATTATTAATACTATTAATGTCTAAAATTTCAATATATAGACACATGTCTAAGAATACATCCATATAAATAGTTACGTATATCCTCTAAAAAGCCATTAGTCTGTAATTCTTATTGCAATAATTCAATTTTCATGGCTCACAAAAATTGGACCTTGTCACAGATGAAACAGTAAAGAGACATTACTGGGACTTCCTGCAATAAACTTCCCTGGACAAACTCAGTTTAACAATACATTTTCAGCCCTGGATGGCTATTTTCTCTCTAAGTCGTTGCTATGTTTTTATTTTTTCAGCCCTACGTCCATTTGCAGATAGATGTGTCTCTCTCTACAGCTAGTCAGCTATGTTCCACCTAGCCAGCTATGAAGAAAAATCAGAAGCTATTTAGACACAATTATTTCCTCTAATCTGAGTTAGGAGGAAAAATCAAAAGAATGAACATTCTGGATAATAAGCTTATAGAACATGAAACTTAAAAAAATTTTTTAAGTTCTCACTTAAGTGTATTTATTTCATTTTGCTCAAACAGAAATAATATGGCCTGTGGATGATTAGCTTCCCCCTTCACATTGGCCAACCTTGAAATCCAAAGTAGCTTTCTGAATTACAGACCTGGGTCTCTCCAGGTATTATCTGTAACGATATTTCTTTACATGTAGACAAGGTATGCAAACATTCGCATCTTACTTTGGGTTTTAAACTAATTTGACACTTTTCTCAGGGAAGAAAAAAACAAAGGAGGCATAGTGCAAAAGTTATTTTAGATGTGGGGTTATGCAAACCCTTCCACACATCCCGGAGGTGCCAGCCTTGTCCTTATAACCGGTTTCATGCAGCATTTCAGGTGTTCGGCATAATTTGCACCCTCATTGCAGTACTTTCGCTGCGGCTGAGCTTTTTTCTATTATTTTATTTTATTTCCTTGCCTTGAAACTAGTTTGCCGTTTCAAAGTAGAAAGAAACTACTGACAATGTATGATGGTGTTTTATCCTCTACTTAAATTATAGCCTTCTTTCAAATATCTCCTCTGTATTTTTTGGGGGGGGGGCCGAGGTTTGATCACGGATGGAGGCAAGTGCATCCTTAGAGAAATAAAAAGTCGAGTCTGCACTTTCTGGAGAACTTTGAACACTTCGCATTCCAGCACTGCTGCTTCTTCCTGACGTTAATTGGGCAGCAAATTAACGTCCCGTTTCCCTTTTCTGTCGTGTTTTCTGCCTCCAGTGACGGTGGTGCTGTTCGCGGCCCTGAGGCGGCAGCGGAAGAAGGAGCCTCTGATCATCTCCAAGGAGGACATCAGAGACAACATCGTGAGCTACAACGACGAAGGCGGCGGCGAGGAGGACACGCAGGCCTTTGACATCGGCACCCTGAGGAATCCCGAAGCCATAGAGGACGGCAAGCTGCGCAGGGACATCGTGCCCGAGGCCCTTCTTCTGCCCCGACGGACTCCCACGGCGGCGGCTCGCGACAACACCGACGTCCGAGACTTCATCAACCAAAGGCTGCAGGAGAACGACGCGGACCCCGCCGCGCCGCCCTACGACTCCCTGGCCACCTACGCCTACGAGGGCGCCGGCTCGGCGGCCGAGTCCCTGAGCTCGCTGGAGTCGGCCAGCACGGACGGCGACCAGGACTACGATTACCTCAGCGACTGGGGGCCTCGGTTCAAAAAGCTCGCGGATATGTACGGAGGCGTGGACAGTGACAGAGACTCCTGATGTGTTGTTGCCTTCTTCACGCGCCCGTGCGACACTGAAATACATGAGATTTGGCTATTTCTTTATATTTATCCACTGCTCTTGTGAAGGGGTCCCCTGTTCCACCCGTTGCGAAAAGCCAGTGGCTGCAAGTCCGTGCGGATCTAATGTTAGAGACTTTTTTTTTCTAGTACACTTTTATGAGCTTCCGAGAGGCAGAGTTTTATTTTTCAGTGCATCCAGTTAACCCAGTCAGCTCAACAGGCACGTGCCGGGAGGCGCAGGGAGCGGCATCTTCGCGTGTCCTCTTAGGGCAGGTGGGGAACATGCCTGTTTCCTCTGGCCTGGTGTTTGGCTACACTCCGTTGACTCAGGTCAGCTGACTGCTCTAACTGTAAATTCCACATGCTAATGGGATAAGGGATTGTACTTTAACGATTTAAATATAACCTTAGTAAAAGAAATAAGGGTATATCAGCTCACAAGGAGATAAACTATATAAGGGTGTGTTATTTCTGTCACAAAGAATTTAAAATGATACTTGCCCGTCCTGTTTGTTCTTCAAGAACTTTCTCTGGCACCACCTACTATTCAAAACATCAGATCCACCAATGTCTTAAAATTCTTGTTACTCTTAAGGAATAGAAGGAAATTCAATGGCAGCATTCAAAAACAATAACAAAAAACTTAATAAGACTTCATTCCTTACCACTAACTCCTAATTTGTTATATATTAGACATGTAAAAGGTTACTCTTGCACCCTATAAAGGGAAAGGGAAAATAGCTATTAATGTTAACGAAGGGAATATTTTAGCATATGTGACAACTTTGGCCACCAAATGTATCAAGGATTACTAGAGATTCTTTCAACTGTCAGTAGGTTAATGACAAACAAGTCTAATTATTTAAAAGCTCTTGGAAGAGTTTTTCTGAGATAAATTTTAACTCCTTGTCTGTAGTTGTCAGTATTATTCTACTATACTGTATTTGAAAGTAGCAATGTGAAGTACAATAATTCATATTTTTCAGATACTTTATTTCTTACACAATTAAATTGAATTAGTAAAGTTAGATTAAATAAAACTTAAATCCCACTCTTGAAGTTCAATGGAGAGGTTAGAGCCAGCCACACATAAACCTAATACCCAGCCCTTCACATCCAGAAACATCTATATATTTATATAACATGATAGATATCTATGAATAACGTTGAGATCATGGTGAAAACCTACATATTCCATGTCTGGAAGACGCTTTCACCGGGAAAACTTGGATTCCCTTCAACAAGAGTGTTTAAGATTGTAATTAAAATGATAGTTGACTTTCAAAAGCATTACTATTTTCCCATTGTTTTTAACTTTGCTTTCATGGCCATCCTGCCGTGCTTGTCTTTGAACTAATGATAAAGTAATGGTCTCAAACTACGACTGAAAAGTAATGTAAAATCTATCCAATCTATTATTTCTCTAATTATGCAATTAGCCTCATAGTTAGTTGTTATTCAGAGGACCCAAGTGAACTGAACTGATCCTTCTGGCAGGTTCAAATTATTTATTTCATGTGGCTGTTCTAATGACTTTTGTCAATAGAATCTTACATTATGCAGTCATCAGAAATTTCCAAAGTACTGTAATGAAAATATCCTTGTTTTGAAAACCTAAAAAACAGGCTCTGTGTATATATAATATATACTTAAGAATATGCTGACTTCACTTATTAGTCTTAGGGATTTATTTTCAATTAATGTTAATTTTCTACAAATAATCGTAGTGTCATTTCTATTTGGGAATAGTGTCATATCAGCACATATTTTCTGTTTGGAAATTCATTGCTGTTTAAGTTTTAAATTAGGTATATTACCCAGAGAGTAAATATGTCACCTTTAAAACAAGAGAAATGTAGTATTTTGGGTTACTCAATTCAAGTGAAAAATTTTTACAAACATATTATTCCTTGTGTTTCCTGAATGGTTTCCTATTTTACAATGGACTACCCTGTATGCTAACAAGTATTTCATGCTTGAGCTATTTCCTGCTTTCAGGGTTTCTTTTTCTAGTTATTCATACACACACACACACACACACAGAGAGAGAGAGAGAGAGAGAGAGAGAGAGAGAGAGAAGAATGCAAACAAAAATCTATAAGAGGTCTTCACTCTAATTGATATGTATCATAGTCACAGGTAAGTGTTAAAAAAGTTAGTTTAAAGTTAATTAATAAGTACTAGTTATTTATAGCAATAGAACAGCACCTTAATCACACGACTTACTGTACAATTAAAGAGCTCTCTATCTTTATGTTTTCTGTCATTTAACAAATTGAATTAAGAAAGATAGTCCTGTAAAAAGAAAGTTATCATCAAAAGTTGAGGGTTGACACCAGCAATTTCCAGTGTTTAAGGGTAGGGTTTACTTTCTCCTAATAAGTGAAAATATGTACTCCTGTAGTTTTTGAGATGTAATTGGCAGGATCTTTTATCTCACCCTGAAGATGATACAATGTACCAAGAACAGAATAATATGCCAAAATATTGAAATAACTTTAATCTCTTACCACAAAAGACGATGATGAAGTAAATTTATAGGAAATTGGATAATTTGAAACTGGAGCTGAATATTTAGTACTAGGGTCTTGTAAGTATCAAGTTGGAGTGATATCTTCCTATAATTAAGACTCTTTGACATCATGGAAACAGTAAAAGCCACAGTTCCATCATTCTCCGGCTCAGTCTTACTTCCTTACCACTAAAATATCAGGTCAAACACGATTCCATGTGCAGATTTTTTTTAAAGTGATAGGTCCTGGGTCAATATGAAAGATTACTGGAGGAAAATAAGTAGTTTTCAAAAGCTCAGTATTCACATTGCCTGCCTGTGTCCTTATTTTAGATGTTTATGGTTTAAAAAAATGGAAGGACAATGGGAAGAAGTAAAATTTAAATATTTGCTTTAGTCACTGAAAAACTAAAATTGCTTCAACATAAGCAAGGTTGTTTTTATGCATTGTTTCAAGGACGTTGAGGCCTTTCTGGCATTTTTTTCCCCTCTCTTCAAAGAGAAAGATTTCCTTAAACTACTAAGATGTTTAAATCAGATTGGAGAAAAGCAAAGATGGCTCCATATAACCACAAGAGAGGGAATCTGGGCACAGTAAATGTATGTTTGTTTCAGAACTTTCCTTTACAGTTTGGATGCATAAAGGGAGGTTCAGCTACAAAATTACTCCATTTTCAGATAGAACAAAACCTGGCAGTTCAATTTTAGCTCAGTATAAAAAAGTGTGATTTAGTTTTCACTTTCAGGTCCCAAAGAGTTGTGCAAAAGTTCTTAAAAATTGAATCTGTATCTTAGAAGCATCCAAATTTTATGGATCCAAATTAGTGTTAGGACTTTTCCATTACTTTCATTTTTAAGTACAGAAATTTTTGAAGTCCTGATTTGCTGAACAATATCTCACATCAAATGCTTTGCCTAGAAGTGGATATTTCACTGGGTATAATGGTATATAAACTATGCATTGGACATTTCTAGATTCTGTATACTTGAGTATCATAAAATGTGCAGTTGAGAGATCAGAGTTGATTCCTGAAAACAAACTAAATATTTAAATCAGGTACTCATCCTTATCAGCTCAATTCATTTTTCCCAGGAATAGACCTCCAAATAAATTCTTTTATCCTAGTCACTAGTTTTGAAGTGGTATAATTACTCTGGAAGAAACACTCTAAAAAGTCATGATTCCCAATATTTTGAAAAGTACCCTCTGAAAAGGATTGTTGTAATATAATTTTAATTTTTATGTTTTATCTAGATGAAATCTTTTTTGAATTCCAACAGTGTAGCAAGGGACTCAAAATCCAAGCAGTCTGCTGTGTTCAAATTAACACCACAACCTTCTTTATAAGATTATAAGAGTAGAAAGATTAACACTTGGTATGTAAATCTTCAGGAAGATGAACTACTTCCTAAGCTCTGACAGCAGCTTTCTTTTCCAGAGAATACAGACTTACAGTACGGTCTGCTTAAAAGTTCAGGGACTATTATGGTTGCAGCATTTTTAATCTCCCTATGGCATCTTTATGGAATAATTTTCTAAAGGGATAATTCTCTACTAAAAATATCAGACCCAGACCATATTTAATGTGGAGAGCAATATACCCTCTTAGAGAGAAAATACATTGACTCACACACTTGTTAAAAGTTAATAAAGAAATAGCTCATTTTTAAAGCCAGAAGTTTATGGCCTCTGCATCGTCAATTTAATTTAAGCATTGCTGCAACTATCTTTAATCTACTCCCCATTTTGTAATACCTTATTTATGACGCATTTTTATTTTTTATTTGGGGGGGGGGACATTAGCCCAACAGAGCCAGCAGATGAAAGTGTTGAAAAGAGGTCAAATGAAAACAAAGGCTCTTACTCACTATATTTCAGACAGGACTGAGGCACTTAGCCGAGGAGCCACTGGGTTATTAGATTAATTTCAAAAGAGCTTTTACAAGTTGCTTAATTCCATTTTTTTTTTTAAAACCTGTGGACCACAAACTTAAATTTCTCCTCAAACGGGGTTAATTTGACAAATGAGGCATGGACCCAGCGTTGTGGAAAAAGCATTCCTCTATAATGAGATCTTGGTCTTTCTTGTGAGACTATGCTATTTATGTAAATATGTCTGGAGGCACCTTTTATAATCTTTTAGTTTTCTATGATCTATTAGTTTAGCGTTTATTAAAGAATCAAATGTATAGAGTTACGAGGCATTTAGGGGGAATGCTGTGTAGCAAGTGTAAAACTGATCTGCTCGGAAGAAACATAGGAACGCTCCAAACCCACTGTACTGTTTTTTCCTTTGTGATTATTTTCGTTGCTTTGAGAGTGAACTGCATAAGAATAGGCCTTATAATAAATGCTATGTGCGTCTTCAGTAGTACCAAGCTAAGGCAATTTGGCATTCTCCTACTGTGATTTGTGATTTCTAAACCCAGAAAATAAAAGCTTTTCGGTATTGATTGTTTTTAATTAAAAATACTTCCAAGTATAAATTGAAACTGATGCCACCCTTGAAGATTTACCGGCTGGAGTGCTCAGTTCATGTCGTTTTCCTCGGTACCATTCGCGTCTTTGGCAACAAGAACACCTGATGGAAGAAATCACTGCTCAGCTTCCGTCAGCATTTCTAGTTAGGGAGATTTCCATAACCTCACAGTTCACCTGAGAAAGTTTTCTGTGTGAGAAGAACGGGGTTGAGAATATTAACGTCTAGCTCAGTGTGGCCGGGCCTTTTGTTGTAGTCAAATGGCAAATACGCACTCCTTGAAATGGCTTCTTTTATTTTGTTTTCTTAGACTTATAAATTTGAAAAGAATGCAATTTAAAAAGTGATTTCTCACAAAGAGTAAATATGCCTTTTGCAAATCAATTTTTGTAACAAGTTATTTATATGATATTACTTAATAAACTGGTTTTTTTCTAACTTGTTTTTTTTTTTTTTCCAATTCTCTCAAACTATTGTTTGTAATCACGGAGATTTTTTTTTTTAATGTACACACTGACACACTTTATCTTTCTGAATCTGCTGTTTTAATCTCTCAGATAGCTACCGAAATCCATCTTGTACAATAATTAGCTTGTAAACAATAGTTTCCCCCGCCAGCAATATATATCATTGCCCTGCAGACTTCTTGCTGCTGGGACATCAAGAATTCTACTATTATTTATGGAATTGCTCTATAAAAAAAAGAAAGCTGTTTATCCTCAATTGCTTCAGATTAAAAAGGACAGTTCTGTATTTGTGCCCCTCACCATCTCCATCCTTTATTTCACCCCCATAAAAACAACTGTCTGTGGATCTCTGATTTATACAAAGAAAAAAACAGAGTCGGATTAGAGGGAAATAAGAATAAAATCCTTCCACCATTCTGATACTATGAGTAAATAAAATGTTTTTAGCATATTTAGAGCTATAATATTTTACATGCTTGCTCTTTCTTAAGCTGCCTCCTATTTCTACAGAGGCCATTTCATAATTTTTTCAACTGGGAGAATTCACAGCTTCACAAAGGAGATTTTCATTTATTCATTCAGTTGTTCCATGTATATTAGGTGCTCCACTGTGTGCTGCAGGATATTCAATGGTAAGTCAGATTAGGATATTTTTCTCTCCTCCTGGGAAGCTCATGATCCAGAAGGAAGAGATGCCATAACGTCATAACTATAGTACACACTAGAAGGTGCTGTGGAGATGTCTTATGAGAGGTACTGAGTGTTCATATGCAGGAGAAACTGCTTCTGCCCAGGTAGAAGGGTGCATGGAAGGCTTAAGAATTAGTAGGATTAGGCCAGGTGCAGTGGCTCACGCCTGTAACCCTAACACTCTGGGAGGCTGAGGTGGGAGGATTGGTTGAGGTCAGGAGTTCCAGACCAGCCTAAGCAAGAGAGATACCCCATCTCTACTAAAAATAGAAAAAAATTAGCCAGGCAACTAAAAATGGAAAAAATTAGCCAGGCATGGTGGCACACACCTGCAGTCCCAGCTATTTGGGAGGCCGAAGCAGGAGGATCACTTGAGCCCAAGAGTTTGAGGTTGCTGTGAGCTAAGCTGATGCCATGGCACTCTACCCAGGATGACAGAGTGAGATTCTGTCTCAAAAAAGAAAGAAAGAAAGAATTAGTAAGATTAAGATAAAGGGAGATAAGAAATCAAAAAGAATAGCAGGGAAAAGAGTGAAAAGAGAGGGACGTTTAAGCAATGCAATTGGTGTCAGCTGAGGTCCCTAAGAGGGACTAGGCCTAGAAAAGTCAGATGGCATCAGAACATAAGAATCACAAATCCCATGGAAGCTAACTTTTGTTTTGTTCTTGCTTTTGTTTTTTACCATTTTATTTAACATTAACTTTGTCCAAAACAGAAACCCACAGGAGGGAACGATGCGATTAATACATTCTTTGAAGGGTATGGACATTGTACAACAGTATGCACGGTGCTCTAGAGCCACGTTCCTCCCGGCTGCACCCCACCTAAGGGACCCAGTTCATGAAGAAGAGTCCTGCAAACATTTGGGTAGGGTAACCCCTTTGCCAACACCACAACAAACCATGTCCCATAATAATTATTAGTATGTATTAGAGCAACTAACCCTGGCAGTAGCAAGAGACAAAATCCAAAATCTTCACAAAGTTTATTTCTCTTGCAAAGTGCAAGGGGCCTGTAGGTCTTTCTCCCTCTTTTGGCAATGCCATCTAGCGCACACTGCCGCCGAGGTAACCCTGGCAGGGTGAACTCAGTCACATGCCCCCAGACTAACTGAGAAGAGACTGGAAAATGGAGACAAGCCCATGCGTATCCTCTGAGCACTATGAACCTTGGCCACATATGGGTTCAGTCCCTGTCAAGCACGCAGTATCTTTCCCAAATTACCCCCAATTCCTGCCACCATAACAAACCACATCTTCAAATAATCATGAGGGTGTTATCAGAAGAGAAGGTAGAAAGTCGTTCACAACTTTAACCTTCCAGTTGAAAACCCTTTGAAGAGGTATTTGTCCACCATCCCTGACTCTGATGCCCCTGGCAGACATTGCCAACCCTTCATCACATTCTTTCACGGGGATTTCGTACATGTAACCTTAGAGTCCCTAAAAGGAATGCCCCAAGCAGCCATCACCGATAGACCAATGTTGACCTATGTGCCATCTCAAACCTAAGAGAGGAAGTTCCCCAGTAAAAAAAATCTCCTCTCAGTGAAACTCCTGAACTGTTACATTCATTCTGCAAAAATCACTTGGGCCATGCACAGGTGAAAGTGACAGGGACAGAGGGTGAAACAGATGGACACGCCTGCTGTGTGCGTGCCCTTCCATCAAGGGCTGCCATGATTACGGTCCCATTACTGACCTCAGTTTGCCTGCCTAAACATTTTGTAGCGACTGACACCTGATTCTTTAGAGCACCTTGCCAGGTTTCATATTCCTGAATTCAATACTTTTCCAAATATGCTATGAATAGACATCGCTTTTTAAAAGAAGTAGATTGTCTCCTACTTCTCTCTATAATCTACTTATTCCTTTTTTAAAATGTCTTCCTTGACATATTAGATCATCTTTATTGCTTCCTGAGCTATTTGGTCTCAAAAACTTAACTTTGAAGCATCAAATATGTCTTGTTTGCACATTGATGTAAAAAAAAAAAAGTCTCCTTATAGTCAGTAAAGGATAGGTTTTATTAAATCTTTTAACTTTGCTTAGCTGCCTGATAATAATGCCTTACTTTTATGCGGCACTTTAGAATAACCATCATATATATTACTTAATTCAACTCTCACAAAAGCTCTGTACAATAGGCTGTAACATTCACAAGGGAAGTGGGGTCATTTGCCCTAACCCCATCACAGGAATTCGAATTAAACTCACTTCTTTTGACTCAGACTCTACAATCCCGCCACTGAGCCCCGCATTTTCCCCTTTGCACACGTAGTCTAATGCCATCCATTTGAGAGAACATTCCTTGGGGGAAAAAAGGATTCTCTTTTTCCTTTATACAGATGCAGATGATGGCGGGCTCTGCTGATGGCTGCAGCCTCAAAGACATTCTCTCCAGAAGATCAGTCCAAAGGCTCAGTGAAGAAAAAAAGACCGCTTGAAAAGCAAAATTCTGCCTATTAACCCCAATTACTCACCTGATTCCCATTATAGAATCAGAACAGTGTTTCTAAGGAAAAAATATCCCCAAGAAACCTAAAATTCCACCCAAGACTGCAAAAGCTCTAATTGCTTATATAAAAATAACCTCGACAATATCGCTACTTCAAACATCAGATTGCAGTGAGCCCTGTGTAGGGTGGCAAAACCCTGGAACAGGAGAGGAAGAAGGGGAGGGATGGGGACTTCCAGGCTCTCCTTAGGTGATTCAGATTCCGTGACTAAGGAAGGTGTCGTAGAGGAGGAGGGGAGACCTGCTCTGACCTTGAGCGTCCCTGGGATCCATTTCTCCACCCAACAGTGTGGTGTCTGCGATATTTCCGGAAAGCCCAACTGCTCAGTTAGGTGCGTGTCTGGGTAGCAGAGTAGCAGCTGCAAATCTGTTTCCAAACTAAAGGAAATATATTTTCCCCATTTTTCCGGAACTGAACTTAATTTTTTAAAGTTGAAGTTTTAAGTCCTGATTCCTGTGAGCAGCAGAACCTCAACTTTAGTCATGTAGGGTTTCTTCCGGCAACCTTCACTGACATTACAGCTAAATTCTCAGGGGCTACAGTAATGCCAAGGGTTGCTAGGAGGAATATGAGGCATAGTCAAGGCTAAGGCAGATGGGAAGAGAAGAGAGACTCCAGAAAAAATATGGTAATTCTCTGTCTTAACCCTCCCTGACTGTCCTCCCACTCATCACAAAATGAGAGACAGAAGTTTATCAATCAGAATTTTTTTTTTAATGTTATTGTCATGGTTTCTCATTCTCAGAAGGTCAGGATCAAAAGCTTAGGAAAGACACCAGATTCTCTCCTGACTTTAGCAGAGATTCAGAAAGCTGAAAATTATCTCAGAATGTCACTATTTCCAACTTACTGCTAATTTATAACAGTATTTCCTTATGTTTTACTACCTCAATCATTATAAAAAGTATTCATTTATAGTATTAAAATATATCAAATAATATGTTAAGGATTGAGCCAACGATTTTTGAACATATATGATGTGTCCTTTACCACCTACTTTATGTGTAAAATGTGTTTTTTCTTTATCATAAATTAAGGACACAAAAAGTGCTTTCTGATTTGTGAATACATTTACATGAAAAATCCTACAAAGTTACAGAAACTGAATCACCATTAAATATATATTTAATAAACAATTTGTACTGAAAACAACAAACATGTTAAATCCAGACTATTTGGCTTTCTTTGAATCCAAAGATATACATCGACCTTAAAAGAATTCGGCAAGATGAAAAAGTTCAAATGATAGCTGTCAAGTGAGAAGAGGTTGAGGGATGGGGTGGTTTAGGCATTAGGACTTGAGCTGGGCCTCCAGGAGTACTAGAATCTACAGCTAAATCACTGGAATGCTTCTCCAACATGCAAATTTCCCGATCCAAATCCAGAAATAATCAGGGTTATAAAATAAAATAAAATGGACTCCACAGGCCTTGGGCATTTCTAAGAGATGAGGAGAAAGATAAGTTCTAATCTTTTTAATATTTTAATATTTAATCTGTTATTTTATTTAAATCATATTTGTTGATTTTATTTAAATATTTAATATTTTAATATTTGCACATACCTTACCACTTTGCTGTACCTGCCAGATGCAAACCATGTACTTGTCTAGCAAATGATAAAGGGATTAAAACAAATGCCCTCTCTTGAAAAGGTTGCACATTTCCAATTAAAATACCAAGAGTAAGTTCATACACATTTATTTAAAATCTCAGGTGAGGCTTCCCACTCCCCCACCTTTTCTTCAGAACTTTTCTGGCTA